TGAAACGACACGAAGGAAAGGTTGGTCGTCTTACCCTCCTCGATCCGGCAGACACTTCCTAATCCTCTTTTAATAATTAATCGACGACTCTTAATTGACTAACCCATCTGGGATACGCCGAAACAAGCGCACGTTGCGTCTGTTGTCTAATGTTTGATTTCACACGACCACGGGGTTTGGCTAACAACCAGATTAAAACCATGCAGAAATCCTTGTTAGGTGTGTGAGTTACCAAGTTGATGTCGGTGATTTAGCCCCTGAATCGATCTTTGGGAGAAACATCCTTCTCTTTCCTTTACAGCTGTGAGATCATGTGTGATTCCATGATTAGAAAGTTCTAACTCTTGCACTATTAAAACAATGCAGATATCCTTGATAGGATAACTTTCATCTTATATGGTGCTTGGAGCAACTAAAAATCCGGATATTGTCGGGATATGATCGGTATAAAATAAGCCCGTTTAGTGATGGGACATAGCGGTGTGCAAAATGGCTAAGGAAGCATCTACAAAGAAGATGATTGACCCTTATTCACTGTATTATCTTAACACCTCCGACAATTCGATAAGCGTACTCATTCCATGCATGCTGACCTAGGACAACTATGCAACATGGTCGAAGGCGATGAGACGTGCATTGCGGGAAAAAAAAATGGATTTATCGACAGATTGCTAGGAAGGCTAAATCCAACAACACCTTAATTTGATGCTTGGGACATATATAATTTCATAATAATTTCATGGATTTTCAATTCCCTCGATAAGAGTCTACAGGAAAGCATGGCATACAGAGGAAGCTAAGGTAATGTGGGACAAGCTGAATGTTCGAAACAAACGCAGAAAAACAAATACAGAACACAAGGATTTACGTGGTTCAATCACAAGGTGATCTACGTCCACGGGCGAGGCAAAACAAGATTCCACTATAATCAACGAGAGTACAGTTTTCAGAAGTCGAAAAAACGATTTAACAAAACCTCACGGCTCACAAATCTCTCCCAAAACGAAAATCTCTCTTTTTTTTAATGACAAAACCTAGCCGCAATATAAATAGGGCTTCCCAAAAAATTTCCTCGGGGGCTATGCCACCGAACCCCCCGAGACATTTGTTCGCTTGCTCCAGCTTGAGCGAACCGCCATAGAGATTTGTTTGCTTAGGCCCAACCCTCCGCATCACGAACTAAATCTCGATTTTTTTTCTCCACTTTTGGGTCGCGCAAAAAATATATGTCGGGCCGGGTGATGAACCGAACCGAATACATAAAATTCAAGACATATTTAACACTGAATGAGATATTTGGCCAAGGCAACAGACCTTGCATCCACAAGGTCAAAACCAAGATTCGGCTGCCAAAGCAAGGAGGACTCTCGGTGGTAAAATATTACACCAAGTTGAAAGTTTTATCGGATAAACTCTGACTATAGTCCTAGAATGTAGTTCTAGATCAATCGAGGAACATCACGAATGCTTATCCCATACAAGCTCCTAACGGAAAAGTGACTCCCATTAAAAGAGGCGATATTTACTAAGTTTATTTTGTATGATGTGTTACATGTCCCAAATTTTAAGTTCAACCTCATTTTTGTTGAAAAGTTTAGTTTAAAATTGCAATGCTTGGTAACATTTTTCTTCTTCTAGATGCGTTTCACAGGTTCTACCCTTGAAAAGATTGACTGGAGTGGGTAAAATCTTTGAGAATGGGCTTATTATATCGGACGTTTGGACAATCGTTACGCTTTTCTGGCGATCAAGGGACAAAGATTGACATTTGGCATCCACGCTTCGGGTACCCATCATGACAAGCTTTGGATTTAATCAATTTTATTGAGATAAATAAATAAGATGTTAATTTGTATGATATATGTTTTGATGCAAAATAAACTTGTTCCTCATGTCCTTTAAGTAACAATAAAGCCCCGTGAAATTTGATTTGTTGCGTTATGATGGTTGGGGGTTGCATTAAACAAGGTCACTCTTGGGTTCATGTTAGTTTTTAATTATCGTCGATGATTAAAGTCAGGCAATTTGAGTCTATTTGATGATTGAAAATTCAGAGACATTCAAAGTGCTCGTTAATGTTTATCATATACAAAAAATCCAATTTGGTCAAGTGGTTAAAATGGTTAAGAGTGATAAAGGCTGTAAATTTCTTTTTAATTCGATTAAGAATTTTTCTTTCAAAAAGTGGAGTCATGCATTGGACCTCATGTGCCTACACACCACGAAAAAAAATGGGCGGGTTGAAAAAAAACACTGGTACCTTCTCTATGGAGCATAGACACTTTATTTTCAAGCGAATTTACCAATTTGATTTTTTGGGAGATTGCATATTAACGGCAGCTTATTTAATATTCAATTATGAATTCGACTCCGTTATAATTTGGAAAAAAACGCCTTTTGAAGTTTTATTTGGGAAATTTCCAAATTATAGTCATTTTGCGAGTTTTCAATGCACTTTGTTATGCTCATAAACGGTCGAAAGGCAAAGACAAATTTGAAGAAAGGGCGAGAAAGTGTAGACTTTTGCAATTTCCACACGGCACGAAGAGTTGGAAATATTTTTGTTTGAACATTAAAGAATTATTGGTAGCTCGTCATGTTATTTTATACGAGGATCATTTCTCAATTCATGGTAACTTGCGCACGAGAATCAAACGTCTCTTCCTCTTTTGACACGGCTCGTGAGATGGGGCTGTGATAGCCTAGTCGAAGGACAAGCAGCAGCGAAGTGGGCCGAGTGGGCTTTGACGCCTAGCTACTCCCACGCAAGTTCAATAGATTGAAGAGTAGCCCACCGAGCTACACAGGGAGCAGCACATTATGCATCCCAATGACAAAATTTTAGTCCTAGCTCTTCCCGCACGACAAAAGAGACGAGGAGCCCATCTTTGAGATTATGTGCATCTTAGGTCCAAATGAGTACCCCAACTCTTCAACCGACTCCATCGATATCTTTAGGTACGTCCTATCCAATCGAGAGGTTTATTTCTTATGAATGATTTAGTGAGCCTCCCATCGCTTTTGTTAGCAGTTGTAGTTCTGATATTGAGCCTAGAAATTACACTAAGGCTTTTAAATCCTTTGTGGAGAGCGGTGATGGGAGCAAGCATTAAGACACTTGAAGATAATAGGATTTGGACTGTGGCAACTTTGCCAGAGGGTAAGAAACCGATAGGGTGCAAGTGGGTTTACAAAATCGAGCATCAAGCCGATGACCGTATTAAGTGATATAAAGCTTGTCTTGTCGCAAAGGGATTCACCTAGGTAGAAGGCATCGACTTCAATGAAACCTTCACACCCGTGGCTAAACTAGTCATGGTACAATGTCTTCTTGCATTTGCACAAGTTCGTAATTGGAAGTTGCATCATATGGACATCGACAATGTACTTCTACACATCGACTTGTATGAAGGAAGTTTATAGAAACTTTCGCCAGGTTTCACAACAAAGGGCTCAAGTCTTGTATGTCGACTACAAAATTCCTTATATAGTCTTCAACAAGCATTTCAAAATTGGTTTTCAAAGTTCTCTAATGCATTGATGGAGTATGGCTTCGATCAATCATTTGTCGATTACTAATTGTTCGGTTATTCTCATGGAAGCACTTTCTAGCCGTGGTAGTATATGTTTATGATTCCATCTTGACAGCCAATAATTGGAACAATGTGCAGCACTCAAACGATACCTTGATGAGTGTTTTAGATCGAGGACCTCAGCCAATTAACTATTTTTGGGAATTGAAGTGACCATATGACTTCAAGGTTATTTTTGTGCTAGAGAAAATGTGTACTTGACATACTATTATAATGCAGCATGATGGCAACTACACCGGCGACTTCCCCATAGAGCAACAATGCTGTTTAGCTACAACAAATGGACATTCTGGAATTGAGTGAATTTCCTGTGCACTACACAAATTCTAATTTTATGTAATTCTTACAAATTATTTCTAGAAATTTATCATTGGAAAAACACCTCATATCTGCTTTTGTCCCGTCTCTTAGAATTAGTGATTTTTTTTATACCCTCTTTTCAATATTATTTCTTGACATGTTTCGCCATATTGTGATTTTCGTCGATTATTTCTAGTAAACTTGTCTCAGCTAATATGATGCTTAGTTCGAAAATGGACTTTCATGTGTCATTGTATATTAAAAGAATATGTGCATACCATGTTCTTAGATTATAAGTTTTATTAATGTTTGTATTGTTCTGAAGGAAAATATTTTATACTTATGTTTTATCTAATAAGCTTCATGGTAATAGATTATCTAGTATAGTTATCTTGCTTAATTAACTATTGTTTTATCATATAATAATAGTTGAAGCCATGAGAAATAGTGCGACACTTTCTCTTTTCTTACCCGTTTTTAAGGTGTATCGGTTTCAATTGAATAGAATACGAAAATCGGACATGCACTCAAAAGAACATTCTCATTATTGGATATTAAAATAGAAAAAAAATCTGAAAAGCATAGATTTTCTTTTGGAAACTATTTGTGAAAATCAAAATTCATCACGTGGCCTAACCATGCACGTAAGTGTAATGCTCAACTAAAGATTTTTATTAAATTAAATAACCTTTTTGCTTGGATACATAATCCAAAATTTATTTTTGGTAAATTCACTTTCTGTAGATAAGTAATATATTACGTAGTTTAGTCATATAGTTGTTGTACATTAACTTTATTTCATTAAAAAAATTTTAGGCCGGTTAACTTTATATCTTGAACTTTACAAATCAATATTGTTTTAAGTTCTATTTATGGATAATGCACGTCGGACCTCGGATTAGAATGAATATAAATGGCTCCTTTTTTTTTCTTAGACTAATATCATAAAAATATCTCCATTCCGTAATATGCTTTTACGCATACCGACATCCGATGGAAAAGTTTTATCTGGTAACGAAACGAATGCGGTTTTCAACATGGAAAATTGTCTGTGACATGTTAGTACTTTAAATCCACTCGTGACCGATTTTTTTTACCATGTCAGCGTGCCAAATAGAAGTCTATACAGGAGCTTCCATCCATAGTTGTTTAATATTTATTGCTGCATCATAATACAGACGTGGAAAATACGAAGTAAACAAAAGATTATTGCAGAAAAGACTGAAATTGTTGATGGAGGACTCCTTATTCATAAAATCTCTCGATCCCATATTACGAGTCGATTCATACAAGAGCAAGTTGGTTCTTGTGAAGGACATGCTAGAGATCGAATCAAACTGCTGCTGCTCCATGGATGCACATAACCTGATGGGATCAGAGCGATGAGATGTTTGCTCAGATCAGAAGAACCTATTGATATATTTGTTGATGAGGGGAGTCAATAGGGTTCTGTAAGCTTTCTCCGAGGGGTGGTAGCTGTCCCAAAACACGAACTCAGACACATTTGTGCACGTGTCCGGGGACAATTTGTTGCATAGTAATGTGACCTCAATGTTCCCTGTCCCACAGCACCCCCTGTCCGAAACTACAAAACCTGGTTTCGATTCATCAAAAGAGAGAATCGTTAATCTTATATCTGTTCATACTGTAATGTTACAGCAGACCTTAGACATACACAAGAAGATCTTATAATCGTTCTTGCCTGTATCATTACATGAATTTTGGAAAGTTCGATATAATCATTACCTTTTAGCTAAATATAAATATGGGCGGCATCCATGTATATAACCACCGATTAGAAGATTGATTGGAAAAAGTTTCCCCAAATCAAGAATGGGGAAAACCATGATTCTTTCATGAATCTCGCCTACATAGATGAAAAGTCTTTTGTTGTTTTGCCATCTTTGTTAAATGAAAGGATGCCAAACGACCACACAAAATTAGGGAAAACATTGCATTCTCGAGAGCTTGTGATGATAAACTCAACCTTTTATGGGCGACTAACCTAATATGACCAAAAATAATGTGCCTACAAACCGGGTCAAGAATCTAGTGTTAAATAGAAAAGAAAAAAAAAAGGCATGAATATATGGATGGGTTATAACTTCCTCTAATCACTCTTATGATTAGTGGATTAAAAGTTATGAACATCGCCCACAAGCACAATTAAAGAAATATAAATGTGGATGATATCGATGATTATAAATCACCGATCAGAAAATAGTTTCCTTGAACTAAATTGGAGGAAAACATGGCTCTTTATGCATGCATAAATATGGACATGTTAGTTTGCTCTACACAACAAAAAAGTATATTTCGTAATTATGAGAATTCGCATGGTCTTACTTTGGTCTTACCATATTTTCTGGGAAATCGAATTAGGTCGAGAAGTGGGTTGTAGATATCAACGTAGACCATCTTGCTGCGGGGCAACTTGCTGTTGAGAGAGTCGAGCTTTGAAGAGAGCTTGGAGTTGAACAACTGAGCCGCAGCGTTGTACTCCTCTGCACAAGCTCGTCCTAGTCCTCCTGCTAATGTCCTTTGTGAAGGAACACACCCTATTGGTGGTGCACTAAACACTGCTATTCTTCGAGCTCCGAGGTAATATAATTCCTTCGACAATCAAAACTGAGGTTGGGGTATATTGCTAGGGTTTCTTAATCACTTGAAAGCAAGTCGATGCAAAATTCCTATCATACTTAGAAATTAGGTGGCTACCGTAGAAAATAATAGGAAACAGCTACCAAATGAAGTCGGGTCAAATTATATGTTATGATTTAACTCGCGCAACATCACGAGTTTCTCGTCGAGGGATGCAATTTTAGCAGATGTGTGTTTGTGTGTATCGTCGTTGTACATACTTATAAACTTCCAAAAAATATATTGAAGCAAGGGCATTTTAGCAACATGATCGATTAAATCATTCTCTCCGACCTTTCAGGCATTACCGGAATGAATTTCATAATCTAGCGGGCAATTTATGTTGCGCGGCGGTCTGTCCATTGACAGCCAGAGAATGAAATGATACCTGTAGGAAATTGGAAGCCGATTCGACCATGAGGTCGGTATATTCAGGCACATTATACTGCAATTGCCTCACGCGAGCGGTGAAGTAGTTGTTGGCGATGTCATCGCTTCCGGACACCACGGGGTACAAGCTTTTGGCCAAGATGAAGTTCGCCTTCGCTTCTCCAACTAAACCTTTCAACTTCCCTATGTACTCTTTGAAGAGATTCAGCTGATCCGACATGGTCATGACCGACTGTTCAAATATCAAACAAATCTTTACTAATGGAAGACAGCATGACTTTACATGAATTGTCTAAAGTACTAAAAATGAACATAAACTCGATGCGCAAATGTACCATTAGCTGGGCCGTGAGCGGATCGTATCCGCTGGCACCGGAAGCGAAGGTAACCCCCGTGACCAGGTCATGATTTTGTAGATTCGGATCCAAGTATGCCGGCACTGCATCTTTAATGCCTATTTGTTCCGCTGAAATAGGAAACATATAACTTAGGAAGTCAATGATAGTGAAATAAAGAATATGGAAAACCTAATAATAATAATAATAATAATAATAATAATAATAATAACTATTAGACAAGAAATTCATGAACGACATGCTGCAGAAGTGGTTTTAATTTTGTTTAGTGTATGTAATTGGTGACGCGGAAAAAGGCAATATTAACTAACATACAAGAGAAAGTAACGTCTAAACCCTAAACAAGATAATAAATTGTTTCTATTATTGTTGAATTGTTGACCAATTAATGACCAAATAATACGTTGTCATTAGATTCAATTGAGCCACGGGGTACTACTATAATGTAGCCAAGGCATGACTTCATTCGGATTATTAGAAAACGAAGTTGGTGAGACTTGTTACTCGATAATGTTAGCTGGGGCACGACTTGATCCGATACATAGCTGAAGCTTTTCCCACAATATGATCCTGCCTTGTTGATGGCAGTTTGGTATAGGGTAGTGTTGACTTTGATGCCTCTATTTCCGCCCCTTTTCTGGGCTTTCTTTTTCTAAATTATCTCTAAGCGTACACTTTTTGAATCATTAAAATGGGACGGTCCAATTCCATGCAATAACATCTCCTAGAATTGAGAGACAAATTGATGGAGAGAGAGAGATTTATGTACTCTTGTATGGGATACAGGTAGTACAAACCTCTTCTATTATTTACTATAAAATTGTGCCAAATGAGGGACAAGGGAAAATTACTCAATCAGTCATAAACCCATCATACGGATACCAATTCAGTCCTAAATTTTTCAATTTGCTAATTTAGTTACAAAACATTTGCGCGAAATTCCAACATAATCATTCCGGTCAATTTTCTCCGAAAATCGCTGACGTGGCGGTCCAGTCATCGCCGGCCGTACTACGTGGCACACCGACACATCAGTAATTTTCAGCAAAAGTTGACCGGAAGGACTAGATTAAAATTTCGAGCAAAAGTTTGGGACTAAATTGGCAAAATTGAAAAGTTTAGGACTGAATTAACATTAGTATAATAGTATAGAACTGATTGGACAATGAGATTAGCATTTTGGGAAGAAGAAAATTGACTGATTGTGCTAACATGAATTCCTCCGCGCGAGTCGTAAGGACATTTCTTTGACACCCAAAAATAGTTAAACGGGCTCGTCAATTATAACAGGGAATCTCTCTTCTTTTGTTTGCAGTTATATATTCTTCCAACTTCTTGTACACTTGCACGCAGCCATGCCTGTGATAAAAACATGCTTACTCTCGATATTATATATGGTCGATTAGATTCATCATATTGATCATCAATTAAGATAGGCAAGAGAGAGATAGGAGAAACCTATGAGGTCGGATGGCACTTTGCCGTCGCAAAATCTTCCCGTCGGGATGCCGCCTTTGAAATCCTTGCCATAGGGGGGGAAGTTGCACTTGACGAGAGTTTCCATGTTGTTGTTGTTGCCGGCATCGACAATCGAATCTCCGAACACGATAACGGCCGGGACCGTTTCGTTTGGCGGCATCTTCACCGCAGCCCTTGCTGGTAGAAACATAACCGAAATAGACAATACGAACACAGCTGAAAGTAATGCTGAAGAATGGACGAGTTCGGAAGACGACATGCTTTGCTTAAGCTCGCTCTGTCTTTCTCTCGGTATGTGTTGGTGAAACAGGAAGGAGAAGAAAGTGAACGTACGTGCGCAGCTAGATGGTGATGTTCTTGCTTATGGCATGAACAAATTTAGGTACATATAGCTCGGAAAATGGGGGAACTAGATATGATTAAATAAGAGAGGGTCTAATATTTGTAAAGTATAGGATGCCAGATTTCTTTTTCCCGTTTTCGTTTATCGAACGGTGGAGCGTGGAGTATATATAGCTTGCCCTCGGGAATTCTTCAAAAGAATTCTATCTCAAGTAAATGTGCTTTTTCATTAATGAAATTCTGGTTGGTGCCTACAAAGCGTGGCAAATTTGTATTTGACACTTGTCAGTGAAACGACACATCAATCATTAGAACCTGCCAAATTTACACCTATCAATCCTTATGGAGTCAAGTAGTAATAATTAAAGAGTTGTAGAGGGCAGAAATTCGGGTTCTGTTCTAGAAAGCTATTAGAAATACGTAGATAACTTGACTCATCAAGGTTTTATCACCTTAGCTTATAAATCGATTAATATCACGAAAAATTTCAAATCGATATATTTATGATTGTTTGAGAGGATAATGAATTGTTTCTATTCAATGAAGGAATTACAATATATATGCTTAACATAACGTAAAACCCTCTAAACATAATATTACAATTCTACCCTCCTTATCATATTTCTAACATTCCCCCTCAAGTTGGGACGTAGATATCAAATAGTCCCAACTTGTTACACAAAAATCTCACTCTATTCCCCCGTAGAGATTTAGTAAAAATATCCGCTAGTTGATCCTCTGTCCTTGCATGTTGAAGAGTGATTTCCCCTTTCTAGACCTTCTCTCGTATAAAGTAACGGTCAACCTCAATATGTTTGGTTCGCTCATGGAAAACAGGATTGTTCGCAATGTGGATAGCTGATTGATTATCACAATATAATGTTGATGGATCTGATGTTGACACACCAATTTCTGACAATAACATCCTTAACCAGAGCAATTCACCTGTCACATATGCCATAGCTCTATATTCTGCTTCAGAACTTGATCGAGAAACCACATGTTGTTTCTTACTTTTCCAAGCAACTAAATTGCCTCCAAGAAATACGCAATACCCTGATGTAGATCTTCTATCAGTAGGGCATCCAGCCCAGTCTGCATCAGAGTATCCTGTAGTGTTCAGATGACCATGACTCTTAAAAAGTAATCCTTTACCTGGTGTTCCCTTCAAGTACTTAATAATTCGCAGTACAGCATCCCAGTGAGTAGTGCGAGGAGAACTCATAAATTGACTCACTACACTGACGGTAAAGGATATATCAGGTCTTGTGACAGTGAGATAGTTCAATTTACCCACTAACCTTCGATATTTCACTGGATCATGTAACAGTTCTCCATGTTCTGTATCAAGCTTCACTTTAGGCTCCATAGGTGTATCAACTGGTTTTGCTCCAAGAAATCCAACCTCATTAAGAATATCAATTACGTATTTTCATTGTGATAAATTGATACCTGCCCGTGAATAGGCAACTTCAATCCCAAGAAAATATCGTAGACGTCCCAAATCTTTAGTATCGACTTCTGTATGTAGAAATTGTTTAAATCGTTGGATACCATCTGAATCACTACCGGTGATAATAATATCATCCACATATACCACTAAAAGTATACAACCAGCTGAGGATACGGAACTAAATACTGAATGATCGACTTGACACTATTTTAACCCAAACTTGGTAACTGCATCAGTGAACTTACCAAACCAAGCACGAGGAGATTGTTTAAGTCCATATAAGGCCTTATGTAAACGACATACCATAGCACTGGTCTCCAAAGCTGAGGTTGAAATCTTCTCAGTAGGCGTCGAACGAAGAGCCCGAGAGAAAACCTCATCTACTGTAGGAAGAGAGCTCTAAGAAGTAATTTGTTGACGTAATGAAGAATATTCAGGTCCCAAAACCTTGAGAAATAGTATTACCCGAAGATCCTCTTGTCTTTTGGTAAGGGTGGCGACATTGTCTGAAGCTGGAAGATAAGTGTCCAACTGTCTACATAAAGTCGTGAAACGAGCATAATATTCAAATAATGACTGATCTCCACGCTTAAGATCAAAGAGTGCCTCCCATGTATCACAAACTCGTGTCATGTTATTTTGACTAGAATACAATAAGGCACATTTATCCCAAACCTCCTTAGCTGTGTTACATTGAATAAAATGAGGACTAATCTTCGAGTCCATACTATTCCATAACAATGTACGTATCAAGGCATCACCAGCAATCCAATCAGCAACCTTACTCTGAACTCATGGGGCCTCAGACGTAAGATAATCCAGTTGTTTGGTAGCAGTAAGGTAAACCTCAACAGCTTTAGACCAGGATGCATAATTGTTACCATCCAACTTGACTGAAGTCAATTGTAAATGTGGTAATCCAACAGAGGATGCAGCAGTAGCCATTAATAAGCTAAATATATGATTGAACCCACAAACAATGTCACAACAACTAAGACTTCAACTCTAATAACAGTCTCCAAAACACAATCAGCCAAACGTAATCACCAATATGAGGGTTCAATCGAATCACAACTAGTCATGACAATTCATGGAAAAATCATATAACCATCGAGTCAATGTTGAAGAGTAACCACTTTCATAAGAGAGGATTGAATATTCCGAGGTATTGTAGCTCTTGATGTGGTCATCGCTTGCATTGGATAATATAGCTCTGTTCTGTTTTTTTTTTTTGGAAAAACCTAGCTACTGTTCACAGTAGCCGCACGACCAGAAACAGGGGCGCCTTCATTGGAACTTGAACACAATACTCGGTGGAGGAGTGCCGACCGACCAATAACCCAATGCAATTGTAATTCTCCACGACCCACAAACACCACCGATTTAAAGACCAACCATTACCTAAAATTCACTTCAGCACAGTACCCATGAATCTCAAAAAGAGAGGAAGAAACCCTCTTAATTCCAAACTCTATCACTGCCGACAAGTTTCCTCAGTGCACCACAACATCCGACACCCACAACATCCAGCGACATCCAGTGCAATACTTTAACAAAAGCGACTTCAGGTATTCATGTGTTGGCCAAAAGATTACAAACTTGGTGACAGATGGATCAGATTAATTCATGGGGAGACGAAGAATCCAGCAACCATAGTTAGTGATGGCGAGGCAGTGCAAGCAGAGACAACGAGTAGTGTCGCACGAGCAACGCGCGAGCAGCAGAAGAGCATGCGCTAGCGTGAGGCTCGCGCAAGCAGAGCGCGAGGATCACGCGCATGAGGGGATCGCACGCACGAGCGTCGCGTGAAGGTGGAGCCCGCCGCGGCGAAGGCGGTGACGATGGCCGACGGTTCCGGCGGCTAGACGACGGCGGCAAGTGGATTAGGGTTAAGAGCGAAGCTCTGATACCATGTTTGAGAGGATAATGAATTGTTTCTATTCAATGAAGGAATTACAATATATGTGCTTAACATAACGTAAAACCCTCTAAACACAATATTACAATTCTACCCTCCTTATCATATTTCTAACAATGATAAATTTATCTAAACTTAATTTTTTGATCATCAAAAACTTTAAATTAGTACACATCTGACAAATTTATCCTCCGTTAATTTTCGATAAACTTTACAATCAAATTGCTAAATTGGATTACACGTGGCAGTTGAGGGGTGTACCTATTTGGAGTTCTTCCCTTTGTTTGTCACATGTGTACCAGTTTGTGATTTTTCATTGTATTAATCCAATTTAACAAAAATTAATAGAAGGTAAATTTATCACAAATGTACAAATTTGAGGTTTTTGGTGGTCAAAAAATTAATTTAGGATAAATTTGTTACATGTATACAGTATGAAGTTTTTCGTGGTATTAACCTTTTATAAATCAATCTTAGTATTTTTTTTAAACTCTAGCTAGCTAGTATAGTTCATTAATTTCTTATTGTAATACACACACACACATATATATATATATATATGTACACATCTTAATAATGAGGAAAACCGCCTGTCATTGCCATATCGGGTTTAGACTCTACAAAATAAAAAATGTAACATGATCTTATATATCCACTTAAATTATTAGCTAGGTCTCCATCATAAACTTGTCCGATTATCTCTCCGGAGAAACCGCCCTATTTGGTCTTGGACGTATGCTTTTTGCAAAGAGCACATGGTACCAAATTTCTCAATCCGTTCGTGAGAATAACATATACCCAGAGTGGCATTACATGATTATCGTATGATTAAGGGGGTGCTGAAATATGAACATGGATTCTACTAGTAAAACCTCATAATGCGACAGCTTTTAGCACGACAGAAACAAGTCCTATACCTTTTATTATCCGTCCGTTTGCGAGTTGGCGCCATAGTCTTAGATCGAGTCTACGATAACATTTTTTGCATGACGGAACATGTGCTATGATTAGTATTTCCCAATTCTGGTCGGTCATAGGACAGAAACTATAGTAAAGCGCTTAATGTTCAAGAAAAAGAAAAACTTCTCTTTTGGGTTTGACCGACTAAACAAGGTTGGATGATTCTTGAGGACTTGATGGGAGGGATTTTGTGGTTGCTGAAACGACACGAAGGAAAGGTTGGTCGTCTACCCCTCCTCGATCCGGCAAACACTTCCTAATCCTCCATTAATAATTAATCAACGACTCTTAATTGACTAACCCATCTGGGATACGCCGAAACAAGCGCACGTTGCGTCTGTTGTCTAATGTTTGATTTCACATGACCACGGGGTTTGGCTAACAACCAGATTAAAACCATGAAGAAATCCTTGTTAGGTGTGTGAGTTACCAAGTTGATGTTGGTGATTTGGCCCCTGAATCGATCTTTGGGAGAAACATCCTTCTCTTTCCTTTACAGCTGTGAGATCTTGTGTGATTCCATGATTAGAAAGTTCTAACTCTTGCACTATTAAAACAATGCAGATATCCTTGTTAGGTGTGATTTACCAAGTTAATGTTGGTGACGATATAGCCCTATAATCGATCTTTGGGAGAAAAATCCTCCTCTTTCCTTTACAGCTGTGAGATCATGTGTGACCCGTGACCAGAAAGTTCTATTTCTTGCACTACTGCTCATAAAATAAAGAAGGCAAAACAATTTTTGTTTCTCTGTATGCCACACAGTAAAAGCGACCGTGTGATGCTTGTAAGATAAATACCGGTTCTCCGGACATTTTAATCTGTCATACTTTGATCTCATTGTTGACACTAAAAAATGATCAATTTTTAGTTATTATCGAAAACTAATCAGACTTAGTCGATGAGAGAAGAGTTTGGTCAATAATGAACAAGACAATCGACAATTGACAACTCGCTAAGGAAGTCATTGACAACATCCGAAGAGTTATCGATGAGATCATGAGAGCCTTCATCAAGACTTACGAAGTTGATCGACAAAATCATTAATAGCAAGCAATAGACACAAAAACATAACTGCTTGGCGATTATGTTTTGCTAGATAATAAGAGATTGTGTAAATTTTTGTATCTATGGATAGAATTATGAAGTTATTTCTTCATTTAAATTCAGTAACCGTTATATGTAACCGCCTAAAGAGAGTTATAAATACCCCAAGTGTATTTATTGTTAAGGGATCCTGACCAATAAAAAAACTCAACCTCTTCACAAATTTATTTTTTATCTTTACTTTCCTACAATTTACATGGCCGTTGCAATTGCCTCCATTCTTAGTACATTTAAATTTCTTGTCAGTTACTTTCATGTTCAAAATCAAGAAAGGATCCTTTCACAACCTTTGTTGATTCACTCGTTGATCCATTTATATTTCTAAAAGGTATTTTGTCGACTTTTCGAAAAAAAACTATTATTTCTCTTGTGAAACGTTGTCAGCAATTTTTCTTTCATTCATGCATATGCTTTATGGCTTATATTAGGTGTTGGCAAACTTAGAAAGTTTATGTTTCTAGGTTATTGAAAAGGAAAATTAGTGTGTGATAGCTTCGTCACTTTTATTGAGGTGACAGAGCAGTCCCTGCATTCAAATTTCCTCTTGAAATCAAGTAACTCGATCATCCAGTTTCAAGGGAATTGAATTCTAATATGTATAAAAAGAATACGAAACTAAGTGATGTTTCTCAAAATGTATATATAATTATTTTTTAGTCAACAACTTACATTAATTAATTGTTCTGGCTAATATTGGTAAATCTTTATCTTCCTTGGAAAGCTAAAGCCTTAGTCTATCTATCTTGGGCCACCTAAGTTTTGGGCTTGAATCCATACCCTTCACTTTTCCAAAATTCAGTAGGAATGTACAAATGCAGTTACGGATACGTCAAATTGATTTAATGAGAATCGAGACATATAGTACTTAGAATCAATTTTTTTTTTCTAGCACATGCATCGAGGGTGCGCAGATACAAGTAATGATTAAAGTTAATTGCTTATTACATTGAACAACAAAATGAATAAATCCAAAAAACAAAGCTTACGGAAAAAAGAACATCTATAACGCACAAGGCTTTGCCCTAGCAATAATGTGTGAAGTCAACGAGGAAGTAGCACTAGCAATGAAGGACATTTTTATTTTATGGATTTTTGGGTGCTCTCGAATCATGGTATTTCCGATCATTGAAGTTGGGGCCAAGTGTTCTCATCCATGAAAAAAAATGAAGAAATTTGTAGGGGGATCGAGATAGGTACAAAGCTTATGGCCGGTTTCATTTGCTTCAGAATGAATTGGGACTGGATAATGATTGGCTTCTGACCTAGCAAACGGAAAATCAATGAAAACGCTTTCACACAACTTCATGGAAGTTTGAGAACGAAAACGAAAAAGTAAAGTAAAAATGTGATTTTCCTTTACAATTGTATCGATTCTTGCCATATCCAATTGCAAAATCGCAAATGAAATCATATAATACAATATTGTGCAGGGGTTATCGGTTTCAGTGTGAGTCGGTTCCTAGTTTTCAGAATTAGGAATTGACCCTATTGAATTGGGAACCGATCGGTCCGAGCCGGTTCCAGCGTCAATCCAGGAACCGATCGGGTGTTTAATCTACCAAGCTTCTCAATCACTTTGGCCTTCATAAACGCAAAGATCTTTCAATTTGATGATAGACCAGTGCAATCGGAGAAGCCAATTTAAAATTCGTAAAATTTAAAATTGTGGGTACTGACCTATATATGTGATTATGACTCGGTACATGATCAATATATTATAAGCTTAAGGGATGAGCTCTCACCTTGGACAGATCCAGATTGGAGTCAACTATCAAGCTTCTCATCTAGTTCTCGGACAACGCTTATGCAAAAATAGGACGTCGAAATTAACTATGTGAAAGTATTTACATCGTCGGTTCCATCAGTTTGAACCTTCGATCCGGTTCAGCACAGGAGACCAAGAATCGGTTCAAAAAATTTGGAATTGGGACTGGTGCTCACCCCTAATATCGTGGGTACCATAGACAAACCCATTTGATGGCCATAATTTTACGGGTTAATATCACTAAAAATCTCAAACTGGTACGCTTGTGATAAATTTACTCTAAATTAATTTTTTAACCTCCAAAAACTCCAAATTAATACACCTATAATAAATTTATCCCAAACTAATTTTTTACCACCAAAAACCCCCAAACTAGTACATTTGTGATAAATTTACCATCCGTTAGTTTCTGTTAAATTGGATTAATACCACGAAAAACTACAAAATAGTACACCCGTGACAAACATACGTAAAACCCTAAACCAGTATACCCTTCAATTGCAAAGTGTTATCAAACTCAACAATTTGATGACAAAATTTAACGGACAACTAACGGAGGGTAAATTTATCGCAGGTGTACTAATTTGCGTTTTTTTCCAGTAAAAAAAATTAATTTCAGAATAAATTTATTACAAACATATCAATTTTGGATTTGTTGTGGTATTAACCATAATTTTTCCTACGCCGAAGAAGGTACCACCTCAGCCGGTCGTTGGAAACTGGGAAGGCAAATCTATGGGTGTAACACCAACGTTTTAAGGAATAAAACATAGGCAGACCCATCAGAACGACTAGGTCAGGATGGCCGAGTGGTCTAAGGCGCCAGACTCAAGTTCTGGTCCTCGTGAGAGGGCGTGGGTTCAAATCCCACTTCTGACAATTTTCTTACCCCCCTTCTTTTTCTTTTGGGCTAAACAACTCACAAAATGAGGTTGGATTAATCGAGTTTATGGGCTAAACAACACACAAAATGAGGTTGGATTAATCGAGTTTATGGTGTTTAAAGGGAAAGTCCCTAGAAGTCTTTTGCAATTGAGATTAGTACTCATTCAAATTGAGTTATACATTATCAAGGACAATGCCTCAATGATGGGATGGTAAGTATAGCATGCGAATCTCAAAAGGACATGCCTCTCAATAACCACATCTACTCAAATTCTTGTCGGCTCTCCTCTCGATTTAAACAATTAATTCCGAATTTAAAAGTAAAACTAAATGTGCAAAACAAAAGGAAAGTTCAAGAATGAACCTGCTGTTGACGATGCACAAGTCTCTACAAAACAGTTAAGATTTTGCACATTTTTAATGTTATCGAAATCTTTTCTGCGATCGTCACATTGTCCTCATTATCGTAGTTGAAGCCCAACCGCTACCCAAATCGGAGTTGGACCCCTTTTTTTATTATGCAATTGAGAAAAAGAAAAAGAGACACTTGCGCTATACTATAAATTAATATCCTCCATGGTCGTCGTGCCTCATACAACACCATCCCCCACCATAAACCAAAAAACCAAAAAAAAAAAAGAAGGAGAGGAAATTGCATTTTTATTTATATATATATAAATATCATTGTGTAAATATGTATTCTATATTGTATTGGCCTGGACCATATGTGGACATCGCACCTTACAAAGAACATTCGTCCCCACCAACCCAGCTAATTATTGACGTACGAATCCTATCCCCCCCCCCAAAAAAAAATAATAATACAAGAGAGGCTTAATAAGTTAATTTCCGTCATCTATACCAAAAATTAGGGGCAAAAAAGAAGAAGAAGAATCAAACTTAGCAGAGGAATTAAAAAAAAATGACATAGGTCTTGTCCATCTTTTTAGCCCCTTTTCCTCCCCATTTCGAATTCAACCACTAACGCCTTTAATATATAGTTTTTATTTCATATTTGGATGACGTCATATACCACTATGTACTACAGTGCCGCCAAATTCGACAGGTAGGCTTTTCCATCACCGAGTCCCGTCCCTTCCAGGCCACGTCATCCGGGCCCACCCGAATCGTACGAAGGCTTGTGGGCCCCGAGCCCGATAAGATTGCGACACGCCCCCCCCCCCCCCCCCCCCCATTTGGGCCCATAGTGGGGAAGAGGTCGGCTCGCTCCGGTTATCGGGAATCGTTACGTGGGGGGCCCACCTCACGCCAACAAGAGATGCCGCGACCGCCACGTGGACACCGCCACGCTGGCTAGGCCGACCACGGATAAGCGGGTGCGGGCGCGGGCGGACGGCGCCGCGTGGCTCGCCTCCACCGCACCTTCGTAGACCATCGTGCTGTTGATGAGAGGCGCCACGTCCGTGGCGGGCCCCGGAGTCTGGTCTTGTGAAGAAGCTGACTTTTGGCTGGCCCGGAAAAAAAAAATCTCCATAAGAAATGATAACGATGATGCAACGACCCAAAAAAATTTACAAAAAAGGAAAAAGATAGATTCTCTACTAATGTACCATAGATGGCTCGTCACAATAGAAATATGTTATTGACCTCTCCTAGCAAGAAAAGAGAGGAAAAAGTGAAACAATGTGAAGCAAGATAAGTCATTACTTGACTTACAAGCTTGCTAATAGGGATGATCGATTTCAAGGTGGGCAATTCCCACTTTGGAATCGAGAACCGCCCTCTAATGGTCGTTTCCACATAATGAGAATCGGAAACTGCCCATTGATTCCATGAACCACTAGGGAACCGATCCCACCGAGCACCAGCAAAAAAGAATGCCCCCTGATTGCGTCCAATTCCATAGCTACTCACTTCACCGTCCAATTCCATGACCTGTTTGAATACCTTGCTTGTTTTCCTAAATATGTTGCTTGATGAATTGGTTAGTTCCTAGCCGTCCTCATTCCAAGACAAAGAGAAGATTGGTTACAAGAGAGAAAATTCTCCAACCACATGATTTGGTAAGTTCCTCGCAGTCTTCAATCTTCTCTCCGTAGCATCTACACTTATTGTAATGAGTGCGGACTTCACGGTCATGGTTTACAATGTAAACCACTATAGCCAGATTCTGGAGAGAGACAAGGAGTGTGGACTTATAGGAGAGGGAGGCGAGGGAGGGCCGAAAGCGAGGTGATTGCGGAGCAAGAGGCGAGAGAGAGCTCAGGTGATGCGAGAGACAGAGGCGATCGCGGAAGAGATCGAGATGAGGCAAGAGGATTGAAGGAGAGAGTTGAGAGGCTAAGATTTTCGAGTGAGTGTGCAGCATGTGTGACTCGTGAGGATTGAGGTGAAGTGAGTGAGAGAGCTCAAATTAAAAATTATATATTTAGATATATAAAACAGTCCGATTCGGGTGGTCCAAGACTCCAAGTGGGCAGTTCCCATCTGGAATCAGGAACTGCACTGATACTCAACGGTTCCAAGAATCAAAAAATCATACGGTTTGGGCGGCTCCCAATTCTTTTACACAACCCTATTCGCAAGTGCATTAGAGTCCGGTCCCAGAAGCTTGACGATACACTCAATATATGTGAGCCCGACTCACATGTATCATCGGATGAGGTAGACGCACGTGGAATCCATCTGATCTCACGATGGTCTCGCAGTAGAAACGAACCGTCGATTTCCCCATCATTAAGAACAAAATAGAAGTGCAATGTCAATCGCAAGCTTCAGGAAGAAGCAGATATTTTTAGCATCTCTTTCTGGAAACAGAGAGAAAGATATTTTGTTCCTTCCTCAATCGCGAGCCGCTGTGATTTCCGTTCGGAATATCAATGCCCCTCTCATCCTCGCCGTGCCGACAAACGATAGCGACAAAACTTGCTTTCTCTCGAATTGTCGAAACTGCCCTTTCAAATCCATGAAAACCCCCGTGTGCCCACTTAGCCTTGGCCCGCGCGCTTTTGCGCGACTGAACACCCGTGTAATATCGAAAAAAATCACGAGGACGGAAGGGTAAAAAGGTCACCTGGTGCTGGGAGATGGGCAGAAGGTGATGACGTAATCCGCGCCGGCGCACGTGAACGTGCTCGTCGCGTCGTCGTACGCGTAGCTGTACGCCTGCGGGCACGCTCTCTTGAACGCCTCCGAGTACGACGTCGGCTTGCACGCCTGGGGGCTGCCGTACGCGCCGCTGCAGCAGTACTGCGGCTGCCGGAACGCATCGCACGCGCTCCTGCACGCGGCGGCGGCTGCCCCCGACCCGTCGCCCCTGGCCATCACCCTCAGCTCCGAGGGGCACGCGCCGTTGAGGTCGGATGTGCACCCGACTCTCGTGCAGTTGCCCCGTCCCCCGCTGCCGCCCTGGGGCGCCACCAGCATGGCCAGGTTGTAGCCGTCGACGAGGCTGACGTCGAAGAAGTCGAGGTCGCTGTCACCGTTGAGCTTGAACTCGGCGAGGGTGGCGGGAGGGGCGGCGCTGCGGCCGCCGCACTCGAGCTGCCCCGAGCCGCAGTCGCCGGTCAGGCAGGAGAGCTTGCTGGTGGCAGGGTCAAGGGCGCAGTGCGTCCTGGCCCAGAAGCGGCCGCCCCAGCCGGCGGGGGCGGCGAGGGAGCGGGACTCGCCCTTCTGGAGCGTGAAGCCGGTGGTGGAGAGCGGTGGCTCGCCGGCGTTGGCGAGGACGCCGGGCCATACCGTGTACTCGCACTTGTTCACTAACGTGAAGGTCGTCGCATCAACTGAAAAGCAAAATGCAAAAGAAACGGATCAAACGAAGAAGGATGGAAAACTCTGCGGAAGAATCACGAAAAGGGTAGGTTATTCTGTTGACGGAACTACCTGCCATGAACATTACGGAAATGAGCAGCGATGGCAGAGATGTCGATGGCAAGGATCTCGCCATTGATGTTGTGCCTGTTGTATAGTTGAAGAAGGAGGAGTAAGAGTTGTGTTTGGAGCAATCTTCCTCTTCTTCTTCTTCTTCTTCTTCTTCTTCTTCTTCAGCAACGGGAGGTTTCAGGGTAGAGCTGTTAAATGGATAGATCGGGTCGGGTTTGGATTGGATAATGAATGGTCCGATCCAAATTGACCCATTAACCCGTTTATGACTCATTTATTTGTAATGTAAATATCCCGATCCATACCTGACCCGTACTCAACCCATACCCGACCTGACCCATATTAGTAAAACACTTTTATATTTAATTAACTATAGGAAAACTTTTTTCTTATGATTTTTTTAAAAAATTATAATACCAAAATATTTTCATACAATAAAAAGCTGGTAAACAATTTTTATAATTTTTTTTTAAAATTGAGGTTCTGTTCGTTTTGTGAAAAGTGCAACATTTTTATAAAATATTTTCCCGTTAAGTCATATTCCAAGAAAAAAAAATTTTCAATGTTTGGCTGAAACCTGAAAATGAACTAGAACATATTTTCCGACGTTGGTATGTAAAATCTGACTTGATTTTTCTTTATGCAATCATTTTAATGATTTTAATATTTTTTATCTTTTTTAAATCGAATTTAAACAATTTTTATAATTTTTTTTAAAATTTTCTTTCGTTTTTGAAAATCCATTTTATAAAATATTTTCGTTAAGTCATATTCTTTTTGTTTGTGCTGAACTAAAACATATTTTCCGACGTTGGTATGTAAAATCGGACTTGATTTTTCTTTATGCAATCATTTTAATGATTTTAATATTTTTTATCTTTTTTAAATCGAATTTTTAATTATTTTTTCTTCTATTTCCTTTATTTTTGGCCGGTGGCCGGCGACGGGCGAGGACGAGCTCGCCGATCTAGCGAGGCCGAGGCCGAGGCCTCAAGTGAGCCTCGAGCTCGCCGATCTGGCGAGGCCGAGGCCTCAAGTGAGCCTCGAGCTCGCCGATCTAGCAAGGCCGAGGTCTTAAGCAAGCCTCGATCTCGCCCGATTCCGGCGAGCCGAGCCTCGCTAGCCTCGGGCGAGGCTCCACCTTGCCAGATTCGGCAAGGTCAAGCTCACTTGAGGCCAGCAAGCTCGAGTCTTGCCAGATTGGTGAGGCCTCGGGCTTGCCAGCTTGTGGTGAGGCTCCAGCCTCACCGATCTGGCGAGCCTTGAGCTCGACCTCACTTGAGGCCGAGCTCGCCCGATTCCGACAAGCCCGAGGCCTCGCCGGAGTCTTTCATCCCCTGTGGCCGGTTGCCGGCCACTGTCGTGGCTAGCCACCGGCCGAAAGAAAAGAAAAAAGAAAAAAAATTAAAAATAATTTCGAATTTTTTTATAAAAGGGGGTGGGCTTAATGAGTGAATTGTAAATAGATTCCACACTCAACTCATTATGACCAATTTATGATAGACTTAAAACTTTAAGACCCATTTAAGATGAACTATTCAAAGTTATATTAATTTATTTATGACTTATTTATTTTTTAAATGAGTCATATGTGAGTTTTAAGATCCATTTAATAGGTCTATTTCAGGGTCACAACGACAGTTGATGTGTGCCGGCCATTCGGCATTTTTTTAGGGGGGAAGTCAAAGATTAGGGAGTGAAAATGGTTGGTTGCATGAGACGTAAGCTTCGTCATATGATGTGATTTGCAGCGGGGAAAAGGTGATGGTGTTTTCAACCACCTTTTACGTAAAATTGTCGCAGAATTCAGATGATGATGGAAGAAGCATAGGGCCTACGGAGTCATTAAGGAGTCAAGTTTGAATTTCCATCTGGTCAATTCGGGCTCTTATCAAGTGTCAATATGGGAAAATATGGGAAATGAAAGGCAGGTCATCAGGCTCGTGGGTGCGACTCCCACATCTACAAAAGCTCTCTCTCTCTCTCTCTCTCTCTCTCGTAAAATAACTTTAATATGGTATTGCCATTTTGTGCATTTTGTATGTACTTAGCATGACAACATACGATTTTCGAAACAACGATTACACATGCTACGATAAAATACGTGTCTTGGACGCTATAATTTTTTCTTCAACGGTTGCGTGATTAATGTCATTGGGCGCTCTTCTATAAAACCTGTTTTTTTATAATCTCTTTTCACCGTTTAAATTTAGATATGTCTTCGTAAGTCGTTATAGGAATGAATCATCCTTACTATTGTGTTGGCATGAGATATGCAATAGCGGAACAAACAAAAAGTTAAATCTAGCCCGGACTTCTAAAGTATGTGTTTAACATAAATGCAACATACTAGAGAAAATTGTCCAATCAATCCTAGAAATATTGTACAAATACTAATTTAGTCTTAAATTTTTGCCCTAAACCTTTTTGTAAAATTTCAATGTAGTCTTTCCGATCAATTTTCACCGGCAATTGCTGACGTCATAGTTTAGTCATTGCCGGTTGTCCCACAAGGCACACTACCACGTTAACAATTTTCAGTAGAAATTGACGAGAAGGACTATACTGGATTCTACGTAAAGATTTAGGATTAAATTGACAAAATTGAAAAATTTAAAATTGAACTGACATCCGTACAATATATTTGGGATTGATTGGATGAGTTCATCTCTTTTTATCTGTGTCTATGGTCAGTGACTTATTTATCTGAGCCATTATCCTAGATAAATAAAGTTGGTTATGAATTTTATAACTATATATAAGAATGAATGGGATTCATTTTGACGCCAATAGAAATACCATATGTGCTATTGCTAACGTAGAAGATGTCTCCTAAAGATCTCAAGGAGGTGAACTTATGAGGTATGAGCCGGACACTAACTAATTGCTAAGTCAGAAAAAAGAGGCATAACTGTAATGGAAGTCCTAAAACTTGTTACGAAATTGCAATTGAATTCTAAAAATTATTATTAAAGTGCAATTGAGTCATAAATCTTTTAAAAAGTACAAGCGAGTCATAGAACTTATTATGAAAGTGTAATTAAGTTATCAAACTTTCAAAAAGTGCAATCAACGGAAAAACTTGATTAGACTAATTTGACAAGCTTTAGAATTTAATTGCACTTTTTTAAAGTTTTATGATTTAATTGCACTTTGTAATAAGTTTTATGACATAATTGTATTTTTTAAAAGGTCAATTGTATTTTTATGATAAATTTAAACTTCAACACATTTTTTTTTAAAAAAATGATATCAATGTTCATGAAACTACAATTAGCATCAAAACATACTTCCATAAACAGCTTAAGAAAAAAAAGAGAATTTGTCCGCGCCTTGCGACCCAATCAGCAGCTTGATTCGCGGATCGATTGCAATGGCCCTAGGTTGAAATGGGCCAACGAAGGTCGCTTCTTAAAAAACCTTCCTCCTCCCAGCCGACTTCTGTCTGGTCATACAGTTTCTTCACCACTTCAAGGCAGTCTGTTTCTATCACAATTTATCCTTTTTTTGGTCGAATCGCTGATTGTACTTGACTTGATCCAGTTTTGACGTCGTTCCTCAATTTCACGTCATTTAAAAGATGACTAGACACCTTCGACAAAAGAAAAAAAAATGACTAGAAACCAAATGACTCCGACAAAAGCTTAGGCTTAATAGCTTTTTATGGATGTCGCCTTCCCATGGAGATTAAAAATCTCCCTCTTAATTTGTAAAGACCTGGGCAACTTGTTCATCGAAGAGCCCAAAACAGTCCGACCTCGCTTGTCGCAATCATGGTCGCACAAATGCACTGTCTCCATTTATTGTAGTTTTATGCCGACTTGATGATACTCTTGTTTTCCAGTGATACCCTCGATCTATCCTCTCTTCTAAAATCAAATCAAGAGGGTTTCGTTTCCTATACAGCATGGCATGTCTGACTTCAATTCGTCAATTCCAAAACAGAATAAAGGAAAAAAAGACCTAAACAACAAGAGGGGATTCCCTCTCTATGGAGAAGACAAATAAATAGAGAGAATTGGGGATGCGAGATGTACGAGCATTGACATGTTAAAATAAGAAATATATCCGTGGAGCTCGCCCAACTATTTTCTAATGATACTCTTGATCTCTCCTCTCTTCTGAAATCAACTCAAGAGGGTTCGTTTCCTCTAGAGCATGGTATGTTTAACTTCAATCTATCAATTCCAAAACAGAAAGAAAAGGCATTCTTCCGAATCTATAGAGGAACCCAATAGTGGGGAAATTGTTCATTCAATCCTAAACATATCGTGCAAATGACAATTTAATTTTAAATTTTTAAATTTCGTCAAGTTATTCGTAAACCTTTGCGAAAAATTCCAGAGTAATCATTCCGGTCAAATTTCGCTGAAAATCGCTGATGTGGTGGCGTGCCATGTTGGACAACCAAAGATGACCAGACCACTACGTTAGTGATTTCTAGTAAAAATCGACCAGTAGGAATTTCACGTAAAGGTTTGGGACTAAATATGCAATATTGAAAGTTCTTGAAGACTAAATTGATATCCGTACAATAGGTTTAGAGTTGATTGGACAATTTTCTCCTCAATAAGAGCTTGATTGAGGTCATATTGGATTCATCTCTTCGATAATTATGTTTTCAGTTTGAGCTTGTCAACGAAATTCAATTGGAATTGAATTGCAAGGAAGCCCGATCATTAATGGAAAGTTGGAGCATCAGACTTTGCAAGACATCTCGAACTATTAGATGTGTAATTTCCGCATTTGAGTCCAAGTTAGAGAAGGCAAAGAATTTCCTATTTTGGATGTGTTTGTTTTGCAGAAAATGAATGATTTGAAAAAAAATTTTCCTAAAAATGATTGAACAAAACATATTTTTAACATCCATGAAAATATTTAAATATATCAATTTAAATAATTTTTTTTTACAAATCATTCAAGGTCAAAAGAAATTTTCTTAACGGAATAGGATAGTAGCCAAAAATGAGGAACACTGTCTGGAGTATTTATCACGGTAACAACAAACATTTATCCGAATGAGTTACCAATCATATTCATGTTTGGTACCATTAAACTAGCTGGTAACTTAATCAGAATAAATTGGTAAGTAACTCAAAGTATGGTTGGTAATTTGACAATAAAGTTCGTAACCTAATA